GTGCCTGATAGCAAAAATCTCTCTTTAAAAAAAAATGACTTGGGTTGATACAGTTTGTTACTCTCTTTTTTGGTCACATAATTTTCCTATGGCCTAGCCATCTCCCTGATTGGAATGTTCTTTTCCTTTTTAGATGGGGCTTTTCATTATTTTTTTTTTTTAGAAGGGCTTAAAAGTTTTTAGACTACATAAAGCTTGTTGGGGACACATGTTGCCTGGGCCTTTGCAGAAACCTCACAGATGGAAATGAAGCAGAATCATGCACCTACATCAGACCCTGCTTCTTGGACTTGATGAAGGATGATAGAGATTGACCATCTTACATTTTATCTTGCAGGTGATCATTTGAAGATCTGTCCTCAGGGTTATACATGCTGCTCTCAAGAAATGGAAGAGAAGTACAGCCTGCAAAGTAAAGACGATTTCAAAAGTGTGGTCAGCGAACAGTGCAATCATTTGCAAGCTGTCTTTGCTTCCCGTTACAAGAAGTTTGATGGTATGTTATTCCATTCACATCTAAGAGCTGACAGTTAAATTTGTACACATGCTTCTTTTTTTGGAACTCCTGTTCCCTCAATGCTAAAGTTTTCTCTTGAAATGTCCTCCTTATTGCATTCCAGGAGCAAGAAAGCTGTGCAGCCTTCTTGCTAGAATCCTTCTGGATGCAGTAGAATCTGTATGGTAGACTTCATGGAAATAGGGCTGCAAAGGAGCCAAAAAATAGATTACTTTAATTTAAGGGCTTTCATTTATTTTCTCGGGTGAACACAGAATCGTGCTGTTGACGCAAGCAAGTCACATACACACAAATACTTCCTAATAAAAAGCATCTGTAAACTGTCTTAGTCAAAGTAACCATGGAGATGTTACAGATGCTGGCCTTCAAATTAAATTTCAAAATGGATCTCTAAAACCAACTAGAATTCCTAGACCCTCTGCAGAACAGACAGGATTAGAACTCAGTTTTTGAGTGCCTGAACAGCAGCAGGCTAGAAGTCTTTATAAGCTGGGCTCCATCTCCATCCTCATTTTAGGTGGGGTTCTGGCATATTTTAACCCCTTGTGCGAGACATAGCTTCTCACACCTATACTTTCTTGTAATAGTGAAGAAATAGTCAATACACGCCAAATGAGAGATACTTTAGTCCTGTGTAAAGCAATGTTACAGGTAACAGACTTTGAGAAATAGAATGCGGTGTCCAAAACACCTTTGGATTCTTTTCTCTGGTGCCGTTCACTAAGTTTGAAGATTGTTATGAAGCAGATTTAATTTTAATAGGAATGATTTCCTTTGTTCCTGTTTTAAAGGCCATTCTAATTACATAGTACCTTTGAAGCATGCTTTTCCTGACATTATGTGTAGTGAAGAACTACAAGGCAAATTTTCTAGATGTGAAATGTCTTTGAGTATTTTTGCAAAGGGCTCGTTACCATGGTGAGACATTGGACTAAATTTGATTTGATATAGCTGATAAGGCAGTCCCCAGCTAAAGAACAGGTTGTATTTCAAATGCTGGCTTTGAGATTCACTATCTAAAACTTATCATCGATTGAATGACTGTTAGTTCCATTCCCAGGCTAGACCACGAAAACATATTCAATCCACATTGCGGTTGAACTCAAATACTATGTAAGAGTGCCATTGACTTTGCTCGTTTTTTCCCCAAACTGTGTGCAAAACTGTGTTTAGACTTAATTCTGTGTTTCCATGGGTGGATGAGAGTAATTTATACTACCTATATAGCGTCCTTGTTACCTCATCTCTCTCTGTACATATGCTGTACCTTTTAAGAGTATTTAGCACTATGTTAACATCACGGGAAGATGGGTGGTATTGCAAAATACACCATTAGGCCACCTCTGTCTCTCTTGTTCACTAAATTATTATTTTATTGAAAACAAAAATGGCATATTCCCTGGACTGTGGGATTTCTCATCAAGGTAATAACCTATGCATTTTCTTTTACTTGGGAAAGAAAACTTAGAAAGACAATGAAGTGGTGATCTTTGAAAACTCAAGATGCTGATATTTAAAAATGACCACTTAGGGGTTTCATAATGGAATTTATAAGGGGGAAAAAAAATCCTGCTCTTCAGAAGTGGCTCCCCTGTTACCAGCACAGTGGCGATAAAAGCTGTTTCTAAGTTCCGAGGCCACCTCCTCCAAGTCACCCCGTATGTTGTTAGACATGTCTCTGGCTGGATTGGAGCCCACAGTCATTGCCTATGGGCCTGCTGGTTTAGTTATTCTTTCCCCTTCTCACTCCCCATGGTTTTATGGCACTACTCCTATTTTTCCAATGTGTAGTTTTTTTTAAAAAAAGCTGTACAGAGAAACTTTATCAGTAAGTGTTAACATATGTTTTTTAAAAGGATAGAAAAACAGTTTTTCTTACCCTTTCCTACCAGACTTCATATTCAATAAATATGTTAACACCGTGCCTTTATCAGCTTCAGAACTTATCAGGAAAAAGTGATTATGAAACTCCAGCTTGTTTCTTCTGACTTCTAATTAAAATCTGGTATTCAATAACGTTAGTGAGCATAGACTGAATTGTTTTGGAAAGTGAGGTAGCTGAAGTGTGTTTGGTCTGGAGATCAGAAGAGAGCTGGAACATTTCACACATTTTCTCCAAGTTAGGTTTTCTGAAAACGATAAAATGATATTATATGGTAAAACTTCAGTTGACTGAAGCCTCTGATGGGTACTGAATTGACTAATTGATTTTGAAGGCTGACAGCTAGGATGTGCCAGTACTTCTCAATGCCAACAGATGCATGAATATCGAATAAAGTGTGAAAGGGAGTATATTGACTCTCTGAAATGCTTGGGTGGGTGCTTTCGTTAAAAAAAAAAAAAAGTCCAAAACACTGTAAAAACCAAACCCTGGGTCTCGATGCAAGTGGAAGAGAAGAAGTTGGGCAGAACAATAAGATGCTAGCTGGGGAACTGGAATGGGGGAGTGGAATTACATCAAGAAAGCTGGAGACATGGAGTTAGGAAATAGCAAGAAGACACATACTGGGTCATGCAACTTGAAGGAAGCATCTTTTGCCATCTCTGAACTTAAAAAGTGTAAATTCAAAATAGTAACCCTGCACACAGGGCATTTCTTTTTCTTTTTAAGAAAAATGTTGCTATAGGGAGCACGTGCTTGCCAGAGAGACAGAAAGTGAGAAATCACCCCTGCAGGAGGATGGCCATGCCACAGTCCCTTCTCCTCTTGGGATTTTGGGCACGCACACACACACCCAGCATGAGTTTTAAGGCACTGGGTCTGGAACTCGAACTGCACTTGACTACCTGTGAGTCCAGTGACCATTACACCATTTGCTGGTCCCACCATTTCTTAACTTGCCTATGAGATACTGCTTATTTTTAGGGCAGGAACAATGACTTTTTAAGCTTTCTCTTTATGATAGAGTATATTTTACACACATGAGAGTGAGAAAGAGAGAAGGAGAGAGATAAACATACCCTCCACAAGTCTGGTCACAGTGCGATCTTACTTTTTTTTGGAGAAGTTTTTGCTATAGGGCAAGTGCGCTTACCAAAAAGACAAAGACAGAGAGACAAAAAAGCAAGAAATCACCCCCCAAGGGGGATGGCCACACCGCAATCCCTTCTGCTCCATTCTCCTCTCGGGATCTTGGGCCCCCACGCACACGTGCCCAGCGAGAGTTTAAACCACCGGGTCTGGGACTCAAACTGCGGTCGACTACGTGGGAGTCCAGCGACATACCCACTATGCTTAACTGTTGGTCCCAGTGCAATCTTCTTCAGCTGTCCTGCAGCCTGCTGGGTTTTGGGCCCTTGTGTGCATGCCCAGAGTGTTTCGGGTGGACTGGACAAGAAATTTCAAACATGGTCACCATGTGGGACCTGACTCCTGAAGCATCTCATGCATTACTACCATGCCATAGAACTGACCTAGGAACAACAAGTTATTAATACATCCTTCGATAAAATAAGGTTTGGGAGCTCATAGGGAGTTAGCCACTGTAAGCAGAAATCATTCCATTCTAGTTTCCATCATTCTGCATCAATTGACCCCTACTTGGGGTTCTAGTTGCCAGGCCTGGCAATCTTGGAGTCATTGCAGTTAAGGGATAAATCTGTTTTACAGTTTCCTTAACTCTAAGATCCTTTATTCTGCTATACTTTTAATTTTCTATTGTTTGTAAATCTCAAGAGACTGTATTACCTATAAATCAGTTTTTAATTCGTAGACTGTATATGTGTGTGTGTGTGTATTCTTAGACATGGGTGAAGTGCAAGAGAGCATATTTTTTGGCAGCATATCCCTCTTCCTGAAGAGAATTCTCATGTTTCCCATATTTTAAGTGTGTACTTCTATGTTGAAGGATTTGCCTCTGTATTTTTCTATGCTATCATCTTTTGAATCTACTGTTTAACTCAAGATTTTCATTACCAGAAATCTGCCATCCTGGGCTGGACACAGCCAGCCAGAGCATGGCAGTGACAGAGCTAGCTGCTCCCCCTCTTGGCCTGTTCCGGGAATTTTTTTGGTAGTAGAACTGCTAATTAACATAGCTGAAACAGTTTGTCATGAATATGCTAATCAGATACTCAGTTCATGGGGGTTTGGGAAGAATTGCTTGGCAAAGGGAATATAAATAGTAGAAGTGGGGCGTAATCGTGTTGTGGAGTCACAGCATAAAGATCCACCCCCAAATGCCTGGTGTTTTGTGAGAGACTGGTTAATTTTCAAAGAAGCATAGTTTGAATAGAAAACCCAAATAGGTTAAAATGATTAGGGCTGCCATGTTATTCTAAATATATTATTGAAGAAATATTATTGCTGAACAACTCCCCGAACCAAATTGTTGGCTACATACATTGCGTGTTTGAAATCTGAGGAAAGAGAGATGTTGTCCAATGCTGGCGTATTGAGAAAACTAATTCAGTTTGTCATTTGGGGAGCAAGTTTAGCAGCTTGGGACAGGAGGCGCAGAGCACACTGAATTGTTAGTCTGGTTCTGCACTGAACCTCCTGTGTGACCTGGAGTAATTAACTGGGTCTCAGTTTTCCCATCCATAAAATGAAGGGATTGAGTTAGATGCTAAAAACCCTTTCAGTTCTAAAAATTCTGTGAATCTTTTAAACATGTGACCAGACCAGCTGCTTCAGTGAAAGGTCTTACAAGATGTTAATTAGCCATCTGTATGGTCCCCTCTATTTTCCCCCTATCATTTCTTAACTCTCGGCTACTTTCACTAGGTCTTTGAAAACCCTCCCATGAGCCTGAAGCTTGTTAACTTGAATAATAGTAGAAATTTTCTGAATTAACTTAAAACGCACATAAAAGAAATAATTGTCTGTCCCATCTATCTGCATGGGCCAAGTGTAAACTGGAGTGGCTACCCTTCCTTTAAGCTCTCAATCCTCCTTGTCTCCTATCATTTCACAGAGACAGGGCCTGAAGCACTCTTCAGACTTAGCTAAATCTGTGTTTTATTCAGTGAGAGAAAAT